TCTAGAGTTAACTGAAAATATTAGCAATCATTTTTCTCCAAACAAATGAATACATTTCATATAAATGTTTGGGTTTTTTTTAAACTTACAGTTTCAGGTGATTAAGGGATACAAGGACAAGCACTGGCAATAGAGGACAGAGAATAACTGTTTTAAGGCACAAATATGATAAAGAAAAGGCTTAATCCAAGTGCTATATTAAAATACAGAAAAAAACCACTATAAGCGAAAATGACCTAAGACCTATTAGGATCGCTTATTTTTTTTCTGAAATATTTACTGTGATAACTTCTTTGAAAGCCCCATTCTGTAGACAGTGGGGGCTGCTTCAGTTTAATTACCCTGCTTTATCAGAGTTTTTGAAGAAGACTTTTCTGTAGAAATTAGATGACCTATACTGGGGTGTATTTTAAATATCTCTGCCCAAGCATCAGTTTTAAAGAAATGAAAACTGTCATTTCAGAGATGCTGATATCTGCTCCCCACAATCTCAACATCTGTACAATAAATGTTTCTAATCTGCACATATACAGGATTCAGACATCGCAGTTTGGAAGATTTTTTCCCTTCATGTAGAAACGTTAAAAGGTTTTGTATAATACATTTTCTTATTTCAAAAAGATAAAGAATAGAGAGAAATGCTGGGTGTATTTTTTCATTTTCTATCTTTTTGTATTGCTTTTCACTAAGAGCAAGCCTCTTCTAAATAGTCTATATCAAACTACTGCAATATATTTTCAGGGTTTCATTTTTTTTCCAGAAATATTTTCATTAGATAAAAATGTTTTTTGTCAGTGAATCTCAGGATGAAAGATCTACAAACTTTATGATTAAGTAAAAACTCTGTGTGCTGTCAAATTTCTCTTGCTGAGCATCTGTAGGTCTTCCTCAATGGCCATGTTGATGAAACACTCCCACACATTTGTTTATGAAATAAAGGTCTTTAAAGCAGAGTGTCAAGACTCACAGATTAATTGCATAATAAGGACTCAATAAAGATTTAATAAGCACCCAACAATCTAATACATCCATAAAACTTTTTCTGAAAAATATTATAAAAGATTCATAACCTGTAAAAAGCCCACAGTGTGAATATGGTAGAGATGGAATAGCTATAATGAGAAGAGACAAGACTGAAAATAAAGAGAGATCTCCTCCCCCTCTTGAAGTATAATTTCCAAAAACTTTCCAACAAATGAGAAAAACTACATTGTCATGGTTTATTTCTGTGAGCAGTCAAGATAAAAGATCTTTCATTTACCTGTTGCACTTCTTTCTTCTGCTTCTGCTCTGCCCGGGTAGGAAGCTAGTCCCAGTATCACTGTGAACTTCTCCTATCAGACATGCATTCCCAGAAGGCAGCCTTGTCTCCCTTCTGATGATTAATTCCAGACCTTCATTATTTGGGGGTTGAAAGGACTAAGAAAAATATCTAGGTCCATTGCCCCAGCATCCCAGATGGAATGAAAGGCAGTCATTGGGTTTTGTGGAGGAAAAAAATACAAAGGAAAGAAACCTCTACTTTCCCCTGTGAGCAAAAATTGCAAGGATCTTATTGACCACTCGAAGTGTACAGAAAGGCTATTCAAGAAGTGCCACCCCACAAAGAGAAGCAGAGCTCTTTGGGATAAAAGCAGTTTTTAACAAGCCAGGGGAAAGACTCCGCTTATGACAGAGATGCATGTGACAGCAAAGCTGCTTGTTGAAGTGGTAGAGTGGGTCAGGAAATGTCAGCAAGACTGACAGCCCTGACTGCTCACTTCTCTTTTCAGTCCTAGCTCTCTTCTTGTGTGGCCATCCACACATGTCATCACATCATCTCATTATCTTTCTCTCCCCACCCCTCCCCTCTCTCTCTCACATACACACACAGTCCAGTGAAAACACGAAACTTTTTCAGCATGAGCTTGGTCTGGCTATCAAGCTATAATAAAAATAGAGAATAATAATTTAAGAGGCATTTCCAAGGATGCTTACTTCAATAAACTACTATTTTTCATTGTTTAGTTCTGCTCTTCTCTGTTAGCTAAGCAGAAAAGAAATCCTCAAATGGGATAAAACTAAGGGCCTCTGTCTTTTCCCTCCACTGCGGGATCCATCTTGTATAATAACATTTACCGTTGTAAAGGAAAACAAGGAAGGAATATATCTGTGCAAATATGAGCCACCTATCCTCACACCTGCAACATGGTAGATCTTCTCCCGCCCAGAGAAGTTTCGTGATTGACTCAGCTGTGAGAAAATGCAGAAAGAAATTCTCTGTCATTTCAAGCTTCTCTCTCATCGGAGGGGGTCCATTCATGTCTATTCCTCTCCAGTCTACTACTGTATTTTTCTTGTCTTGATTTTTGTTGCACTTGTTTGATAAATAAACTCAGACAGAGTATAAAGAAATAAATGTTAATATAAAATTATTTTTAAAATATTATAAGAAACAGAGAAAAACTGTATAAACCACAAACTATATTATTATATTATTTTACTTCTCTAGTTAAATGTAAGAAAATAAACTTAGAGTCAAGAAGTAAAGAAATCCATATTTTCTGAGGAAAAAACCCCAAATAACCAAGAAGCACAATATAATTGTGAAAAGATGCAAAATGTAACCAAGACAAGTAGAATGTACATTACTATATCCGGTGCACAGTTCTTTTATTTTTGAGTCTTTTGAACACTATCCAAGAAAAGACTTAACGAAGTAATTTATTCTATTAAACAGCAATGTAGAAAAAACCAAATAACAACAACAATAATAACAACTACCATTTATTTAAGACTGCTTTGTGCAAGGGACTATACTATACATCTTCTTTAAAAATTTTTTTACTATCTATTTTCTTGAATCCTTAAAACAACCTTGCAAGGTAGGCATTAATACTCTCATTTTACAAATATATAAACTGAGACTCAGAGAAGGTAAGTAAATTGTTCATAGCTATACATGTAATAAATAGCATAGAAAGATTTAAATCAAGATCCTTCTGTGTTTTGTGACCCTTTGAACCTTCCATTAAGCCATGGTAACTTTCTATTAGTCTAGATCAGGGCTACAAAATCAAATGTTTAGAAAGGCTAAGAAGGAAATAAAAATGGGAGAAGCAGGCAGCTTGTAATGGCAATCGGCAACACAATTCAGCGCTGAAGAAAGGCCTGTGGCAAATCGGAGAGCACTTGCCCCCCTTCTACGAGGAGTCCAGGCTACAAGGAGTCCAACTGATTGTTACCAGAATGCAATGTGGAACCCATAGAACAGGCACTTTCAAGTACTCAGAGAATTTAGAAACCTATACTTTTTTGTGAAATCACTCTATTTTAAAATATTAGTGCTAATGTGGCTTGCCAATCAATCACATCAGCATCCTGGGCACCATCTGGCCTAGATATGTCCTTAAAACCTTAAAGCCAGAGTTAATCTGCTTATTTCTTATAGTCAGGGAATCAGAATCTATTCTGCACCATGGGTGGCAACGGATGGTCTCTGGATAGCCGGAGAGAAGTATTCAGCTCCTTTCAATTAGTACCAGGCTGAGACTCAGGCAGTAGCAGCAACTCAGTCACACCAATGTGGCTCTAAATGTGGCCCAAAATAGACCACGGCACAGCTCACTCTGAATCCTGCTTGCGCATTTCACAGACTCTTGCCTGCATTCCTTCAGGGGCCATAGACTTCATTATATCATTTATAGGATCCAATTACTAGTCGTCTCCTGGATGCCATTTTCATCAGACTAACTGAGATGTGCCCTGTGCACTCTACCTTTTCATATTATCATCTGACATTTCCATCCAAGTACTGGAAATGTCTCTAATTTTCTTCTGACACATCAAAGCAGATATAGCAGCTTTTCATTTCTAAACCTCTGGTCTCAGAGAAGCTTTGAAAATGAGCTCAACAGTAAGCAAGCTCTCGCTCTCTTCCTCAGTAAAACAAACCCTTCCAATTCTCCTGAGACCCCATGTGGGTGGGCTTCGAAACCCAACAAGATTCCAGTCATGATGAAGAAGCTCTGTCAAGTTCCCCAATCCTAAATCCAACCCTGCTGGGATTATCAGAGAACCATGCTGGTGCTGGGGAAAAGCACCAGTTAAAACACCAGTGTAGCTTGTTTATGATATAATATTCTTTCTATTAAAGGTTTACCCAAAATGATGATACTAGACTTGGTATTTCCAGTTTCTTCACAAGACTATAGAAAATGAAGATATGGATTCACATGGTCATTAGAATATTTCTCCCAATTTTCCTAGACTTTCATCAGGATCTTACTGGGAATGTACAGCCTTAACTTTGTTTATACAGAAAATGAAGCCCATAAGGAACCAAGGAATCTAGGCAAGTCTATTTGAGTTACCACAAAAGCTCACACAAGGAGAACACTATATTTATCATGAGTTGCAAATACACTAAGCCACTCCTATCTCATGTAACATGGGGTACTAAATTTCAGCATTTGTATTTTTACCTGCAAATCTTCTCTTCATAATCAGAATCATTACATTTTTACAGGAAATTAGCTTTGCATACCTATTGCTGAAAAAAACAAAATGCCTCTCATTCTTTTTTTTTTTTTTGGAAGCTAGGAACTATTTTAAAAATCTTTAACTGTCTAGGTTTTTATGCATTAAGCCTGACATGTCTGTTTTAATAATAATGATTTAATATATAATAATAGCTGGATTGATTTTTGTAAATTTGAATCTATTATATCATCAGTGAAAAATTCCTTTTGGAAATCTACAAAGTACTTTCAGGATACCATGTTTATGTCCTCCTCATATGTGGTTCATGGTGCTTCAAGTTCATGACTTAAAAACAAATTTAGGGGCTGGCCCAGTGGCGCAGTGGTTAAGTTCACACATTCTGCTTCAGCGGCGCAGGGTTCACCAGTTTGGATGCCAGGTGCAGACCTATGCAATGCTTGCCAAGCCATGCTGTGGCAGGCATCCCATATAAAACAAAGGAAGATAGGCACAGATGTTAGTCAGGGCCACTCTTCCTCAGCAAAAAAGAGGAGGACTGGCAGCAGATGTGAGCTCAGGCCTAATCATCTTCTTCAAAAATTTAGGCTTCATTGCCTAGGAATCATCAGCAGAACTTACATAATACCCAGCTATTTTGATTATCTACACTTTCCTCATGCTTTACTTTATGCAAAAGCCTTGACTCCATAGCACTTTACTCCTGAAAATGTCCTACAACTTAGATCCAAAAGAGATGACACGGAACACCAGGAACTGGGATGACCAAACGTTCCCATTTTTACCAGGACAGTCCTGGTTTTCACCTGCTGTCCTGGCATAATTATCAACAGTGCTCCTTTTTCTCCCAAAGCGTTCCAGTTTGAATGACTCATTAAATGGTCTCTATATGCTGTGACACTCCTCAGAGTACTCTCTGCAACTTACACGTGAACGGAAGAAAATATTCATTATCATGGAAATGAGCCAGTAAGATTATTTGGAAATATTTGTATTAGATAATGTTAGATAATGTACAGTATATCTCTCCATGGTCAGAAACGAACTTAATGAACAGTTGCTTGAGTTTAATTTCAAAGATTATGTTTTCGTCTTGGTAAATAAATTTGATATCATTCTCTATTTGGTAAACAAAACTACGAAACCATATACACTTATTTTTTACTTTCACTGCCAAAAAATAAAGCCTAATTTATTGCATAAGCAATAAAATCCCTGAAGTGCCTAGAAACATCTATTCCCTCTGCTTCCTTCAGACGGATTCTGAGCTCCTCCATCCATAAGGGCGTTACCTTTTATCATCATCCACTTCACATATTCTTTTGGAAGGTGGTCAAGTATACGTTTTATATTAAGCTTAATATTCTAAAAATAGCTACACCTTTCATGAGCCTTGCCAGTTCTAACTCAGATAAATTAAATGAGGTACTATAGATACCATTTGGAGGTGGAACCACCTTTGGTCAGCATTCAACTGAGGATGATATGGAGTTTTCTGAATGTCATTATGAGGATAACAACCACTCTCAAGCTGAAATCAGGTGTATTTGAATTACCTTGAGCCCTAATACTCATTTTTCCCTTCCCCATCCATGTAAGAATCTGGATGAAACAAGGAATATTATTATACAAGAAGGTCTAGGCCTGAGAGCCTCAAGTGAAACAATTTTGACCCAACCCAAATAATCAAGAAAGCATGAGGAACCCTCCACAGCAGTCATCCAACTGGTGAAGAGCCCAGCGTCCTGCCCTAAATTAGGATGGAAAGCAGAAGAAAAGGGAAGCCCTGAGTCTCAGGTGGAAAACATAAAGACAACTAATACTGAATTCTGAAGTAACTGTGCTGAGAGGCACAAGGAGAACTTCCAATTAAACTTAGAAGAGCTAAATATTATGACATCCAGAGACCAGTCTGAAGCAATCCCTTCCCTGAAAAGACCCAACTAAATCACTAACAGCGACCCTTTTGAGTGCTTGCTATGTGCCAGGCACTGTGGTTAGCAACTTCCATGGACTAAATCACTTTCCATATTTCATTAAATCTAAGCTACTGCTGATTGTCAGGAGCATCATTATGTTGTTGTGTCCCACGAAGAAAGAAAAAAAATTCCATGGATTATATTACGACACATCACTGATTGTATAGTATACTCTTATTTCAGAGATGCTAAAATATTTTTGAAACGTGCTGTTTTTCATTTTTAAATTTGAGATATGGTCATTCTTACAACTACATTATGAAAATAGGTATTATTTATTATCTCTAACTTACAGATGAAGAACCTGAATCACCATCACTGGCCCAAGGTTAGAGAACTGGTAAGTGGAAATTTAGTATTCAAACCCAAGCAGTCTGGCTCCAGAGTGTGCTCTAACCACCAGGCTCTAGACCCATCCATATTCCAATCTCTCTGACAGCGATAGCAGCACTTTCAAAGGCAGCCCCTTATATTTTTGGACAATTCTTAGGGTTGGAATATCTTTTTCTTTACTGAAATGAATAATAATTATACTAAGAACAACAATGGTAGCATCAGTAGCTACCATTTATATACCAGGTAGGATGCCAGATGTCTCACAAAATTCTAGAATTAGTCTCCAAATGCTGGCCAAGAAACCCATGCTGGGCCAAATATACAAAAGTCTCACCCATCTCCTGTTAAAAAGAGAGTCTCCAGGGCCCTTACCATGACCTTCTGATTCCACAAATCCAAGGTGGAGCCTAGAAGTCAGATCCTTTTTGAGAGGTTTATAAAAAACACATCTTTATCATTTCCACACCCTTACAGCATAGGTATAATTGTACCAACTTTGTAGCGTATCTTCCTAGTAGAGCACAGTCTCCTGACTCAACTGGGCTTACAAAGCACTTGCCATGTTTTCCAAAACAGGCTAATTAACACTGTGAGGCTGGTAGGAAGATAACAGCTGTCCTAGCATCAAACCTAACTCAGAAAAAGATGATTCTTTTAGGCTCTGGGCCTGATCCTTTTACTGCCAAAGAGGTGAGGGTGGTGGGAGGGTGTAGCCTTTTTGACAGCCCCCCTATTCTGTTTACAGTGGAGAGATGAACCCACACTACAGAGTCTGAAACTGAAGAAGTTCAGAACATGCCACCTCAACATATGCTGCTTTGGCATATTGACCATCCTGAGCTGAAGGCGCTAGAGAAACAGCAGATGCAGGAAGGGCTCTCTGACCTCCCCCTTTCTACCTAAAAGTAGGTCATAAATTTTCCATGAGAAAGGTGCCCTCCCCTGTGTGAGGAAGAAAAAAAAACATTCTTATCACCAGAGATAGGGAATAGATGGCGAAATGGACTTGTACAAACAAACCTACTCAAATAACCCTTACCTTCCATTAGTTTCCTTCATATATTTGCTAACCACTGTCTCACAATTTACTGTCTCCAGCCCAAGTTTCTCCGTCTTGTCCCATCCCCGTAATTTATCACTGTTTGTGTAAGAAGGTATATAAGCTTATGGGCCTAATGGCTTCCTTGAGTCTTCATTTTTTGCTGAAGACTCCCATGTAAAAGAAAGAATATTAAATATAATTTGTATGTCTTTATTCTGTTAACCTGTCTCATCTAAGTTTAATTCTTAGGCCCAACCACAGAACATAAGAGAGTAGAGGAAAAATTTTCACCCTCTATAGAATCAAAGCTTAGCCCAGGAGTTAGATGGAAAGGAGCTGAGGGAGTAGTACTAAACACATTGCCATAGAGAACCTGCCAGAATGCATGTTTGTGCCAGAATTTTCCACTCCTGAGATGAGTTAGTGCCACAAGGCAATGATGCAATGAAACTCTCCATTCCAAGCCTTCCTGGGAATGGTTTGCCCAAAAGCAGTGAACAAGGCCACTTTGGCTCCTGGCACCAGCATCTTGTTCTCTTTTGAACTCTAGCATATTAAACCTTACACGGTAGTCCCCTACTTAACTCATCCATCATCACCCCAGGAAATGCAGCTGGCCTCTTCCACCAACCTCTCCCAGACTATCCCAGTCCTTGCTGCCTCAGAAGGAAGGGACAAAGCCCAGGTTGCCTTTGGCCCACCCCAGCAATTAAACCGGCCAGTGAGTGCCTGTTCATGGTCGAGGGAAAGAAATCCATCTGGAATAGAAGTTTACAAAGATTTGCACTGGTTCCGAAGGGTTAGGAAATGCAGTTTGCAACCACTGAAAAATCACTAGAGTTGTGCAAGGTCTCTTGGAAATGGTTAGTTAAGTGGTAAGAGATGTGTCATAGACAAAAAAAAAGTACCTGCTTCCCTCCCCTACCCGTCAGATAATGGTGAACCTTCTACGTATTCTTCCTGGCCCAGTCCAGAAGGCTAAATGGCCATAACAGTGAGTGTCCAGAGTGACAGGCACTGTAGGAATTGCTGCATAGAGGGCCTATAAGATTTTACATAATACCATCACTATTTGTGAATAACACAGATGGTCAATTGAGTGATGGTTCAAAGTTTCTTCCTTGTGCTAACATAATCTTAATCCTCTGTGAGGGTAACTAATAGAAACATGGCTCTCTAGATGTAGCTGAGAGGCAGTTTCTCAAAATACTTTTCCAGAAGGTTCTCAACACATGCTTGCTACTTTTTCTAGGATCGTCTCTTTATTTATGGCCCAGACTGCACTTGATGACTCAACAGGTCATTAAAATTCCTCTTTTATAGTTGAAAAACTCACTTAGGAGTAAAAAGACGCCTATAAGCTCTCCAAAGATACCCTCCAAGATGCCTCAGGCATATTCTTTTAAGACTAGACTAGCTATGGCTTTAAGACCCTCAAAGCAAGAAATCAGGAACGGTATTTTTCAGGGCACACCAGCAGGTGGTGGGCACACCATCACCTTTCCAGAAGTGGTACGATGGGTCACAATACAGGAAGCTAGTTTTCTCTGGCTCTATCCTCAGCTGCCATGGCAGGAGCCTTCTTTTAGATCCACCTGCACAAGAGACCTCCATATACTTACTGTTTTAGGACCTTCCCAGGGATCATCTCACCTGTGCCTTCAAACACCAGCCTCTCAGGTAATGCGTGGGGTCTGCAACTTTCTTCACATCCTCTCTGACTTCCTTTGGTGATGTCTATGCTGGGACAACCACCAGCTGACGTTTACCAAAAATGATGCCCTCTTGCAGCTTCTTCTGCAGGACAGGTATGGGCTGGGCTGGCTGCTATTTAAGCAGTCGTTTCTCTAAGGGGCTTCAATGTTTCCCAGTATGCTCCCTGCCATCAATGTTATTCTTTGCTGCATTGGTTCATTATAAATCCCAACGTATTTTATAAACATTATAGTATAATGCAAGCAGTCTTCACTTTGCATGGTTCAGATAGCCATGAAATTCATGGCTTAGTTAAATAACACCAGCCTCCTCAACAACATAGTTGAGATTTCAGTTACCACAACATATTAACCGTGAAAAAGTGCACTGAGCACAGACTTTGCTCCTAGCTCTGTAGTTCACAGACTTCTTCCAAAGCCTGTCACTGACTGGTCACTGCCCGTCTAGCACTTGGTTCACGCACAGACAATGAAGCATGTAGTTATGCTGTCTGTTTGTCCCCCTGTGATAAACCCCAATGATATTTTACATAAATAGTAACTGACAGAGGGAAACGATCAACAAAGATGAAATTGCAGCAAAGAAACAAAGAGTGATAATGCTGGAAGCAAAACTGGAAGAGAAAATAAATGGGTTGTAGAAGAAATAGCTGATCGTGGGAATGCTGGCAGTGCCAACATTTAAGAGACTCTGATACGCAGCCAGAGAAACTTGGTAAAAGCGAGTTTATGGACAAAAAGCTGAAGATGTTCTAGAAGTGACGCAAACAAAACCCCTCACATTAAAGGAGCTCTTGAAATTGAAAGTGAAGCAATTTCACGACAATAAAAGTGCAAAGGATAAGATATTGGAAGCTGACGTATGCTTAGAAAGGAGTGTGACAATTCTCCAAGGCATAGAGAAAGATGCCCACACCATATGGTAAGGCATATGATGAGACAAAGAAGGCAAGCACTGGTCAAACTCTTCTCAATATGTTTTTTACAAAGAAACAAAATACTTTAATGCTCAGTATTTCTAATGTTTTAAATTATAGTGTACTAAATAAATATTAGTCTTGCTATTGTTTTCATTTCTGTATGTGTTTATATCCAACTGTAAGAGAGTTTTTACTGTTTTGACAAAAGTTTTAAGGGTCACAGGACAATCCTAATTTTTCCTGTTGATTATTAAGATCACAATGTACATTTTCAGCTTGCACAATCATTATTATGGTCCTGCACTACTGTGCAAAGTGTGTACCATTTATATAGTTTGCTGTTTTAGTTTACAGCCTCTTTTTCTTTAGACCAGAGGATATATATGACAAACACTATACAGGTCCTCTTTCTTCTTTTTCTTTTTTTTTTTGGTCCCTCTATTACAAACTCAAGGCATTGTATTTTGATGAAGTTTATGTGGCCAGTCCCTTATGAAAACTGGAGTGAATGCAGCTCATATAAGCTGAGATGTTCTCCGCCTACTCCCACCAAGTCACTCTCTTCCCTATACAGCACACGCCCCACAGCTGTAGGCATCACTCCAGACACCCTTGCTGGAGTGGAGTGGAGTGGAGAAGAATTACACCTACATTTATGTAAGGACTCAAGCTAGTCTCAAGATAGTCTGCCAAATTCCATCATGGTGTGTGGGCATGTTCTTAGCAAGTTCAGGCTACTAAAAATGATTAGGTGATTTTAACTATGTTTTGCAGTTGATTTATTTGATAGATAACTTGAAAGTGGATCCTAAACCTATCTTTAATCCTGGTCTTTTCATTAAAAATGTCCTCAGAAGTTATTCAAGAGGACTCTTTGGGCCACATTTTCAGTATTTTGTTAGCTTTTTGGTGCTTGCCAATAATAGAACCAGAACTCAAAATCTAAATAATAAAATTGTATAGTGCCTTGTTGATATTTTTTAATCTAAATGGACTTTGGGGAATGATTATGGGCAGACAGTGACAGAGATTCCTCCTGCAAGTGAACAACAAGAGGACACAAGCAGGTGTAGGAAACTGTCCATTACAGGCAGGGTCAGCACAGACACATCCTCATTCCTTTAGTCCACATCACTCTTTGATTCTACTCATTAGCCGGTGACATAATCCTACCATTTCCAGGTAACATATGTTTTGTTTGACTTTTGTCCTTGGAATGATGAGGCAAATCAGAAAAAGTCTATTCCAGCAAAAGTGTTTTTTTCTTCTTCTTTATGAATTAAATCATTCAAGTAATTCATTAATTTAGATTCCAGACTATTAAATT